GATACTGTGGTCACTCTCCATGTAGCATCAATTATGCTAATGCTAGCTGTCACGTTCTCTCATCCTGGCCACACCTCCGCTCTCTAACACCCCCTCCCCTACCCACTTTGATGCATTTTTCAGATTTCGCCTTGGGGCGGAGTTATCTTTTCACGGGGGGGGAGGGGGGGGGATACACTTTAAAGAAACAGTGTCAAAACAAGTTGATTTTAGACACAGCTCAGAAAAGAGGGGCTTGTGGAGTTACAATAGGGAGGAATTCAGACATTGCAGTTCCATTTTAGAGCCCAACTGGATGATGTAATTATGAAAAAGAATTATTCTAAAGTAAGATATGTCTCATTTAAAATACCAACACTGTCATTCTGTAAGCTCAAACTTAATTTAACGAAGTTTCAAATGGTTTGTCCGGTGAAGCAGGCAGAGGATTTGGTTTCTTAGCTGGTCCCAAAAATTTAAAACTATCACCAGCTGTGCCTGAAACGTACGGAGCCCGTGAGGGGACATGGGAGATTTTTTTTCTTTTGCGTTCCCTCGCAAAAGTATTTTATCACTGTTGTACCTGCCGGTTTATTAGAAAACTCACATGTTCACCATTAGTGAGTTAGCCTACTGCTTTAATTCAGCTTCAGAATGAATATATCACACAGCCACGCATGGAAGTATGTCATATGCCGATATTTTAACACAGTACAGCCACGCAACATCAATGTCAATTTCACAAACTTGTGGCGACACATCCTGTTTTGGTAACCGGATATTTCAAAATAAAAGTCTGATTTAATTCAGTTCRTACACAAAACAATCTTTTGCGTGGGAACGTAAAAGTATTGCGAGGGAACACAAAGGTATTGCGTGGGGACTCAAAAGGAAAAAAAGTCCCCCCATGTCCCCTCGCRGGCTCCGTACAAACAGGAAAATGTAGGTTGACATGTAAAGAGAATATAAAAACTCCCCACTTAAGGTTTTTTAACCAATCGTATTGCAATCATCACTTTGTCTTTATTGGCTGGTTTTGAACAGCGGGCTTTCATGTAAAGAAACTTCTTTAGTAGCAGTGTTAGCCTTTTATAAAGGCATGACTGCACACAGAAACATTACCTCTGTCTGCCTCTTGGCTGTCGGTGCCTCTCCTCTGTATCACTTTGGCCCCCCCTCCCTCTGGAAGGGGACCGTGTGCGAGTTCTGGGACTGCTGGAGCTTCGGACACCTATGGAAGCCCTGCGCTGGCCCTGCAGGAACCAGAGRAACTCACTCAGAATCAAGAGAATACATCTTACGTCACAGAGATCTGCCGGTGAGCTGAGGGTCATCTCTACCTGTCCGGGGTTGGGATTGGTGGCGGACTTGTTGGGGAGGGCCATCGGGTCAGACTGGGTCATTGTGTTATCACTGTTGGCACGCAGCAGGGGGTGGGAATGAAGCTGGGGCAGAGGCAGCGTGTGGGCGCTGTCTTTTCGCCTGGGGACAAACTTGGGTGATTCCAAGAAGGGAACTGATGCCATGCGTGATGGGGATGATTTAAAATCGAAGGAACAGAGAGGTCAGGTGGAACAGAAATTAAGAGGAGGGGGGAGGATCAACGAAAGTTAGTTTAGAAAGGAACAGAAATTATTCAAGTGACAACAAAAGAGGCAGGTGTGAACCCCCCTTTAACATTCTGACAAGAAAGCTTACCTACGTCCAMATCTTTGTGGTTTTTGATGATTTCCCCAAGTTCAAAGTGACCAGACATAACAGCTACCTGCAAACAGAGAAAATTAAAACTTTGTCTTGTACTTATAGGTAATTTTTTAAAGAAGTAGTTTTTGGATATTTCATTTACCTGAAAAGGGGTCTGACCATGTTTATTCTTTGCCTCCTTATTCGCCCCTCTGTACAGAAGAACACGAACGCAGCTTTCCTGAACAATTAGTGGAGAGACAWTGGCAGGTTACCGCCTCTAGAATAAACAAATTGCAGTTTAATGGTAATAACATTTAAATCCCGGGCATCCTCTCCACACTTGCCTTGTTGTACAGGGCTGAAATGTGAAGCGCGGTGTTCCCTGAGGCGTTTTGAGAAGCAGTGTCTGCTCCATAAAACAGCAGATGCTCCAAGTGTTGTGCAAGGCCRTTCTGACAAGCCTTTTAATGTCAAGAGATATGCACAAATGGTTAGTGTTCGAAGGACATCTGGATACAAGTCGAAACGGAGAACACAGTTACGCACTGTACATACGTGATCTGATGCCAACACAAAGACACAATCGGTCAGGGCTCTAACTTTAAAGCAACAGAAACGAATCTCCTGCAGCTCGTGAGGTTTTCTCATATTTTCCRCAGAAACAAAAATATCACACAAAGTAAAGAAAGAAAGCATCGAGCAGCAAGACCAAAATAAAATGTCATGACAACTGGCTCGCAGCACAGATTTACCAGAACGTCACGGTGACAGAATGTAGGCAATGCACCCGCAGATTCATTGGACAGAAAGAGACATTTATCTCATGCTCTTTCTGAACTGGACTCATCTCCAGATGACCCAGATTTGGACAGGCTTTTAGAAAACAATGCGGTCACCTCATTCCCATTGGTTTATTTGCATTGTAGTGGTGGGATGAAAGGTACCTTGTGTATTTCTTCCATTCCAAACTCCTCTTCATCCCTCGGCTTTGGGCAGAGAAAGGGAGGGGAGGAAGAAGAGAGAAGACAAGTGAGGACGACAGGGACAATGTGTGAGAAAACGCCGAGGGAGCCTGAGGGTGACGGTACACGACAAATACCACAGAGATGTGACAGAGAAATGATGGAGCTTTGCTGAAGTCAACGTGGAGTCGGGCCTGAAAATGTCTGACAACAAAAAGATGAGAGGAGACCTCGAAGGCAGCGTCAGCGGACTGATCGGGCTGAGTTGCTCTTCATGAATCTACCTGATGACTCTCATCCCAGCCATTCTCATCCCTTGTCCCCAGCTTTGCCCTGTAGTAGAGCAAAGTCTCACAGCAGGAAGTGTCGCCCCCTGTCAGCACAGTGTGGTACAGCGGGGTCAGGCCACAGCGGTCCTTGTAGTCCGGAGACGCCCCAAGAGACAGAAGAGTCTGACAGGACAGAGAGAGAAAAGAAAAGTTATGAATGTTTACATTTGTTTGTTATCGTACTAAAATATAACATTAAAATAGACCTTAAAGGAATGCATATGTTATGTGCTTCGGGCACATTTTTACTAAAATTTTTGCTTTTTTCCAGATTGTTCTGGTTAGTAGTAGGGTATTTTTTTGTTATCATTTTATGATGTTTTTTTTGTTAGTTTAGTTTGGTGTGGTTGTGGCTTCGACGGCCCTGTATAGGGTTGGTACACTGCCACACCCTTAGTTTTGTTTAGCTGTCTCACCAGGTCCATCTTTTGTTTCAACTTTGAGTTTTGTTTTTTGGTTAGTAATTTTTTTAAAGACCAATGTCTTTAACTTTCCTCTTTTTTTTCGTTTTTTGCAGAAAAATTTTGGTTCCTTTTTTTTCTCCTCAGCTAAGGTTTTTTGGAGGACCAGGTGGAATAATTAATAAAAAGTTTCATTCCTGAAAAAAAAACCTAACTATTAACCAAAACAATCTGGAAAAAAAAGCAAAAATGTTAGTAAAAATGTTCCCGAAGCACTTAACAATATCACACGCCAGAGTTTGAGCATCTTGTTATCTGCATATGCTCAGAGGACGTTTTGTGAATGACTTTCAGCTACTGCCATGCTGAATTTTAGCTCAATATCTGTAAAATTGACTGAGTTTTAGCCATTTTTGTGTTTTTAAAGGTCAGCACGTTTTGACTTTAAGGCTCTCACCAGTAGCCCAGTGTGATTGTGAGCTCTAACAGCTTTGTGCAGCGCCGTCATGCCGTCTCGGCTCCTGAAGTCCAAGTGAGCGCCACCCAGAACCAGCAGCCTGATGCCCTCCACTGACAGGCTGGACTGGGTGGCCACTGAGAGCGGGGTCTCTGAGACACATTGGGGAGGTGATTAAGGGGCAGAGAGGATGATCGATTAACAAGTGCATCTTTTTTTCTTCTTTTTTTAAAAAAATCTGGAAACAAAATGACTATTAAAAAGGCAACTCCTTTGTGAGAGGTTAAATTGAGAAATCCACCTCCAGTGTCTGGGTCCTGAAAGTTTGGATCAAGACCCTTATCGAGGACTTTGGCCATTTTCTCCATGGCTCCAGTCTGAACGTATTCCAGAAACTTCTTCTGACTGGCCTGAATGTGGAAAAGATGGGAAAACATCACAAAAACTCAACCTCAGAACTGCACAGCTTGTAATTAYAGAGTTAAATTTAACAACAAAACTCTACCTTTGTGCAGAATTTAGCCAGAGCCTTTTCATCCAGGTTGGTTTGTTTGTAAACTCTGGTTTTGTACCTAAACTAAGGACAAAAAAAGGGATCTGTGTTAAAAGTGCAAATCATACAATTACAGTGTTTAGTTTATTAGTGACTGTAAAAACACAAGAAACATTTGTGTAGTAAATCCTTCTTCTTCTTCTTTTGTTGGGTGCTCTTCAGAGGTCACCATGAGTCATCCTCCTCCACCTCACTCTGTCCTCTTCACCCGCTGTAGAGCTATATTTGGGCCATAAAGTTTGTTAAAAAACTTTTTTTAAACTGGAAAAAAAAAAAARAASAAACGTTGAAACTGAAAAAGTTCAAATCTACTTGACAGAATCTATGACTTTTTTCATTGTATTTTTTTTTCCAGTTTCAAACTTCTGGACCAGAAGTTCTGGTCCTGGTCATGCATGGGGGCGGGGCCTCAGATGCCAGGGGGYGTGGAATCATCAATGACGTCTCAACACAGAGGCTGGACAATTATTCCCACCTGTTGCATTCAGGAACCATAGAAACTGTAAAGTTTACTAAAACATCTATAATATTCTATGTTTTTGTGATTTTTGCTATTTTCAGATTTTTTTCCATGAGTTTTGTGC